GATCTTTACTTGACCGAAATTATATCCCACATCGGTGAGCGAGTCACCTCATCAACTGATGAAATTAATTTGAGGTTTCAGTGAGTGACATGGAGTCTGCGGCAATAATAACTAAGTTTCTTTGTCACAAATTTACTAGTTTTACATGTAACTAACGCAGGAAAGTTTCGGCTGAATATGAACTTTGGGCTCTCTTTCATAGAAGAGGAAACAAACAAGCTGCTAAGGAGAAGCAATATGTTCCCATTCTCTATTTCAACCCTGGCAAACACACAATAGTTATAAAACAGCCGACGACATTTCTTGAATCGAGCAAGGGAAGATTCCAGAAGATACGCAGTCACAGTAGTGTTCTTTGCACTAAAAAAGGAGAACTGACATTACCAGAAATATAACTGCTATCCTCAGCCAAAACAAGGGTGTGATATCACTCACTACAAAAAATAAAACAAGCGTGCATCTGAACTTGAGAACAGAGTTACTCACACTAGCAATGCTTGAACACATGCGTCTTACATGTTATGCTCTACCACAAGGGAAAGCACTCAATGTTTGTGGGTTGTCCCGTATAAAATGTATCTTTCACCTAACATATAGTCGACTTCGACGCTAACTAATCTGCGCATACGTTTGGAGGAAATTGCTTTTGTTCTTAAGAGAATGGCACCACAAGGATAGCATGAGATTTGCAAAACCATATATATATTTTTGTCATGTTATCAAGGAAAGCAACAAAAATATGACATGTTTTGCATAATGCACTCGGATACCTAACCCACCCAGCCCCCCTTCCGGCATAGCTAATTGATTAATTGAAATTAATTAATTAAACAAACATTAAAGTTTACACCTTATGGCATTATGGTGTTATGGCATTAGTGCATTAGTGCCTTAGTACTTTAGCAAACAGCAGCCCCCTAAACCATCCCAATAGTGCACTCTGCACTAAAAATGAGTAGCTTTAGTTTGAAGAAAAATAAATTTTGGTCAATCAATCTTACCTGCAGGCAATCAACGTATAAACCACTGCATTTGCGATTCTTAAATTCCTTGAATACAAGTTCTTGAAAGGATTTTTTGTCCAAGGGTGACAGCAGTCATTTTCAAAATTCTCCATCCTTCCAATTAAATATCCTGCCATGTTTACTTGCCGAGATGGCAAAGGTGGCAAACTTAGTAACCAGGCCTTGAAAATTTTATATTCACTGCCTGGAGCGGTGAATATAGTGTCATATAAGGAATTGCTTGACCGATCAGATTGCTGGAAACTCTTTGTTCACCTCTGAAATTATACTAATAATGTTTAGTATAATTTCAGAGCTGAACAAAGAGTTTCCACCAATCTAGTTGGTTGAGACATTCCTTATATGACGCTATATTCACTACACCGACTGGTGAATATAACATTTTCAAGGCCTGGTCACTGAGCTCACCACCTCTGCCATCTCGCCAAGTAAACATGGTGCACAGTTGCTGAATGAATTTTTCATTTATTCAGAGGACATCAATCCAAGTCCAGGTTATGTGAAAAGATGGAGAATTTTCAGAATGACTGCCATCACTCTTGGACCAAAACCCTTTCAACAACTCATATTCAAGGCATTTAAGCAATCATAAACATAGTGGTTTCATTGATCGCCAGCAGGTCAGCTGGATTGACCGAAATTTTATTTTTCTTCAAACTAAAGCTACTCATTTTTAGATGATTATGACACCTGTGAATGAAGTCAACAACGATGACACAAAGGTACCAGATAAATTTACTTTTCATAGTGTTTCACTTGTTTGTTTTACTGCCGAACTTGATGAGTAAATTGATTCACAATCGATGTACATGTAAGCTTATTTTATTAAAACTACGGCTGCATATGTGTATGGAAACAAACAATTGCGTCCTAGTTTTTATGTTTTAGTCTGTTATTCACTGTTGTTCAGCTCTGAAATTATTTGTCTCAGGCTCAGTGAATATTGTCAAATAATCCCCTCCACTTCATCTCGGGGATTATTCGACAATATTCACTTCGCCTTTGGTGAATAATTGTTAAATAATTACAATTAGGTAAATTATTGCACTTTTCATGAGAGATTATATTTAGAGTGAGAACATACAGTACTGCCTGAAAGTATGGACCCTCAGGTTGTGTCAAAACCTCATCTTTGCCGCATGCTCCCACCTCGCATCCACCACGGGGGAAAATATATAGCACCGCGGTAAAGACGAGTGCGAATGCAATGGAATAAATACCACGGCACAACAGACGAGGTAATACCTCACGAAAGTAATGTATGTCTACCGAGTAGAGTGGCATTTTTTCATCAATGTTGCATGTAAACTCATAATTCGGAATCAAGAAACACGCTCTATGGAAAGTCAAACTTTTTACATGTAAAAGTCTATCCTCTACTTTCGAAATCTACATGTGCTGACTTTTGGTAAACCCTTTTACGAACTCTGACTACACTATTCGTAGCCGTTTAATTAAGGGTTCCCAGGGTGTTGAAGGTCACTTGATTAAAACAGCAACAGGATGGAGCTGTCTATTACTGCCATAATCAACAACGCATTGATACAATGCCATTAAAGTACATCTGTTGATCCATAATATCGACAACACACGCTAACCGTTACCAGTTTCAGGTAAAAAAGGTAACTGTTCGTCATCCAGTTCGTCTTTTTTTATTATTTTAAAATCGATGCATTGAATCTAGTAACACAACTCCGTGTTTTTGTACTGGAAACAACTGAGTGGGCAGCATCTTTTGATTTCTGCGAAAGGTCATGCGAAATGTAAAAAAAATCTTCTTGCCTAAAGTGGTGAAAGGTTTCGATTCTCCTTTTGATCAAGTGCATAAAGGCGAATGATATAA